ATATACACCAATACAAATTTAATAAAATACAACAACCAAAAGTAGAAGTAACTCAGCTTTAGAGTAAAACATGGTGGCCCTCTGCTCACTTGCAATCTTTACATGTAGCATTGAGCTGTACTCTTCATCAGTTTGCACTAAAACACCCTACTGAGCTATCCACTCAAAAATTGTAAGCTCTAGTCCTCAGAAAAAAGAGCTTTCATTAATCTTGACTCAATTCAAATGGGTTTCTATACACCTACCCTGTTACTACTTTACTAGATTAATCTCATCTGTTTCATGTAAATAAAAAAGGAAAACTAATTATGTGATCCTATAACTATATGTGATTTTCAGTGGTTTGTGTCAAATACCATTAATCCGCATTTGCCAGTAATTTTAACATTTAAGGATTACAGAATATGTGGATAATTTAAAGTGTGTTGATAATTTATCTAAAGGTAAGTATTCTCAAATGGATAAGACATTTCAGAATTAAACATATCTGTGTAAAAAACACATTGTAAGAAATGATTTTGAACAACTGAAATATGTTTTATAGTGATTATTATGTCATTTCAAATATAAATGTTTAAGTGTTTTATATTTTTGAAGAGGGTAGACATTTTCTATTTCTAGCTAAATGTTAGTTACAAATTAGAATTATTGGTGATTTGTCATTTTGGAGCTGTCTTAAAGTCTTATTTTGAGATCTTTTTTCTTTAGTTTTGGACTTAGTTATTCATGCCCATTAATGTAAGAAGGCACAGCTCTAGCAATTACAATTAAGCATCTTATACACACAGAAGATAGGGATTTTGTCCTAGTTTTTTTTTCTCCATTGCTGTGACAAAATACTCTGACCAACTTGGAGAGGGAAGGTTTTAAGTAGGAACTAAGGGCAGAAATCTGGAAACCTGGAGGCAGGAGCTGGATCACAAGTCATGGAGAAAGGCTATTTACTGACTTGCTCCCCTGGCCCTCGCTCTGCCTGCTTTCTTAAATGAATACAGGACCACATGCCCAGGGGCGACATTGCCCACAGTGGGCTGGGTCCTCCCACATCACTCAGCAATCAGGAAAATGCCCCACAGACATGGCTACAGGCCAGTCCAATGGAGGCAATGCCCTAATTGAGGCTCCCTTAACCCAGGTGTGTCAAGTTGACAACTAAAGCTTTGCAGCACAGATTTAAAATAATTTAATCGTGTTTTATGAAGTGGTAGCAATGCAGATTATTTTTATTTTCATATTCAGTTGTAAATTTATAAAGTTATAAATTTAATTTATAAAGTCCTTTCAGAGAACACAATAGTTTCAAGTTGAGTAGGCAACTCAGAACACATGATTTTGTAAATTTGTACTTGATTTTTACTCAATTAAATACAATTAACATTGAATCCTTATGGCATATTAATTTGGCATAAAATCTGAAGCAATTTTCTATATTTTCATGTACAAGAAAGTAAATTTTTTTTATATTTTAAAGGATCATCTGGTAGAGATTAATACTTTCAATTTAAGAATAATTCTTTCTAATAATATTTGTTTTTTACTCTTGGTTTTGAATTTTTATATTTTTTTCCTTGTATTTCTTTCGTTTTAATTTTATTTTATTTATTTTCATCAGCTTCTTTTACTATTAAGTGCTTCTCTCTCTCTCTGTCTCTGTTTCTCTGTCCCTCTTTTTCTTTGTCTCATGTGTGTATGTGTGTGTATGTATATACATGCAGTGGTGCATGTGTCAGGTCAGAGGTCAATTTATGGAAATTGTTTCTCAGTTTACCTCTTTTGCCATGTAGATTGGTGGTAATCACTTTTTAGTTCATAGTTGAAGAATATCTAATCCTCCCCCAAATGAGAATAGAATCATTTCCTCTCAGTTTGTTTTCTCTCCCCCATCCCCACCCCCACTTCCCTCTTCTCCTCACTGATTTTAATGGAAATGCTTCCAGTTTTTCTCCATTTAGGATGATGTTGTCTATGGGATTGTTGTATATAGCTTTAATTATGTTGAGGTATGTTCCCTCCAGACCAATTCCATCTAGGACTTTTAATGCATGTTGGATTTTGTCAAATCTCTTTTCTGCATCTATAGAGATGACCATGTGGTTTTTGTCTTTTAAGACCATTTATGTGTTTATTACATTTATTGACTTGCATATGTTGAACCATCCCTGCATCTCTGGAATAAAGCCGGCTTGATTTTGGTGGATGATCTTTTTGATGTGTGTCTGTGTATGGTTTGCAAGTATTTTGTTGAGTATCTTTGCTTCTATGTTCATTAAGGATACGGGTCTACAGTTTTCTTTTTTTGTTGTATCTTTACATGGTTTGGGTATTAGAGTGATACTGGCTTCATAGAAGGAGTTTGGGAGCTCTCCCTCTGTTTCTATCTTTTTAGAATAATTTAAGAGCATTTGTTGGAGATATTCTTTAAATGCCTGGTAGAATTCTGCTGTAAGTTTTGTATTACTGTTTCAATTTCCTTATTTGTTATGGGTCTGTTTAGGCTGTTGATCTTCTCTTGGTATAACTTTGGTGATGGCCATGCATTTAGAAATTCATCTACTTCTTTTAGATTTTCAAATTCAATGGAGTATAGAGTATAGAGTATTCCCTTACAATGTTTTGGGTTTTTTTGTTTTGTTTTGTTTTGTTTTTGTTTTTTGGTGTCTGTTGTGATGTTTCTCCTTTCATTGCTGATTTTGTTCATTTGGATATGCTCTTTCTTTGTTTTCATTAACTGGGCTAAGGATCTGTCTATCTTGTTTAACCTTTCAAAGAACCAACTCTTAGATTCATTGTTTTTTTTTTCTATTGTTTTCTTTGTTTCTATTTCATTAATTTCCATCTAGAATCAAGACCAGCTTGTGTTTCCCACTTGTGTCATTATTGCAGAATATGAACCTTGTTAACTCATTTGCTGGAGGACTGAAAATAAAAGACTTGGCTTTATTTTAGAATGATCTTAAACAGCAGCTTCTCATTTGCAATGCCAGGCAGGCACTCTGTACACCTCTGATATGGTCTTAACCTGTTCTTTCACCTGACAGCCTTCCTTCCTCTCTCCCTCCTAGGCTCCCTCCCACCCTCCCTACTTCCTTTTTCCCTGTCCTTACTGATTTGAAGGCTCTATATTGGAAAGATGTCAGATGTTCACAAATTATACTATCAAATAGCAGTTGGTACTTTGCAGAAATTGATACTCTGAGTTTAAAATTCATATGGAATTATAAAGTAGTAAGAATAACCAAAGTGACCTTGAAGTAGAAGTTTAAAATATTAGTTTTAAAGGATATTTGATATATAAATACAGTGTGAGATGAACATATGGCCAGATGAACTGACTATAGAGAATGAATAAAGAATCTAGACTGAGAACCACACATTTGATCATGTAGAAAGACAAAGGTAACATTGCAGTACAATTGTGACAGGGTTATTCTTCAATAAGTAGCACTGGATCAATGAAATATCCATGTGAAATAAAAGTCTGTCATGACCCCTACCTGACAGGACACACAAAAATTAATTTCAGATGGATTAGTGATCTAAATATGAGAGACAGCATTAAAAAGCTTTTAGATAACATAGGAGAGCATGTTAGTGACCTGTCACAATCTCTAAAGCAAAACTCAGAATACTGATCAAAATGTAAGAATTTTGATGAATTGCGTTTCATTAATTAGTATCTCTTTACCTAAATCTATCATTATGAAAGAGAAAAAGAAATTTATAGAGTAGAAAATATAAAACATAAGGAAGGATTCATGTATATAGGAGATAAGTAACAAACCCAACAGAAATGAAAACAGATTAAAAAGAGCATCAAAAAGAAAAATAAAATAAATGAAAACATTGTCAAGGTTGATCACAGGAGGACATTCAGATGTCTAGAATTTGCTAGACAACACAATTTTTAATAGTCAAGACTTGGAAGTTCTAAATGTCTCTCTCTGACAAATAGAATAAGTTTTGTTGTGTTTATATGATGAATTGCTCTAAATCCTGAGATCTGTACTGTGAAATACAAGGTGGGTGAATCTCTAAAACGAGTGTTGAGCAAAAGAAACCAAGCACAAATTAGAACATGCTGTACAATTATATTTACATAAATTATATGGAATACAAACTTTTTTGTTTCTGAGAGAAGATGGGATTGAAATTATTTGAAGAGGTAGTGACAGGAAGGGAGCAAGTAAAAGAACCAGTTCTGGGTGGTAATGTTTAGCTCCTTGGTCTTCTGTTGCTTACCTGGCTTTGTTTAATTGTAAAATCTATTGAGCCATCATGTGGCTATCACAAATCCAGTTATATTGTTGATTTTTCCATATATATAAAACACTGATACAATGTTTAAAAATGGAAAAAAAAGTGGTTAACTATCTTAGACTGTGACAATTTAATGTAACTCATCTTGTTACTTGTTTCATCTCAGTGTTCACGGTTTGAGTTGCTGAGCCTGGGTATCACTTCCTTAGAAAGACAATGTTTGGGCTCTGAGCTTTTCTTTTCTTATGATTTTATCTTTCTTTTTACCTTAATTTCTTATTATTTCTTTTCTTTTGGCTGAGGTCAAGTGTAGTATCACATTGACTTGGTCTAGACAGCAACTGTGATACATGGTTCTATTTATCCTCACTAATTACAGTTACATTCCAGTCCTGTGATGACTCCCAAGTCATTCTCTGAAGTTCTTTTGTTGCATAGTCTATTGACTTTTGAAGAAGGGAAAAGATAAAATTTTATTTTTCTTATGTTGAAGTAGTAATTTCATTTGGCTCACTACTTGGACTAATTATTTATCATTTATGGTTCTGCTTTTCTCATCGGTAAAATCTGTGATTCATTATTGAGGGAACCTGATCTACTGAGTTCAGTGATTGATTCTATTATATTATGTTTTAGTTTTATTAATCTCTTTGGAGTTTGTATAGCTGAAGACTCATATGAAAACCTCAGCATTTGATGATTATCATCCCCTTTAACATACTAATTTTGTTCTTCCGTTACAGGTAACCAGAAATGTATAGAAAAGTAAGCAGAATTTGCCTTGCTTCTGAACCCAACATAACTCATTTTCTACAAGTGTCTTGGGAGAAAGCACTAGGATCTGGTTTTGTTATTATGCTCACTGATGGTCATTCAGCATGGACTGGGACAGGTAATTTTAAAAGGAAAAAAAATTAAAAGTGAAAGTTAAATAACATTCTTTAGTTGTCAGTGAAATCTCAAGTTGTGTTTCTTCACAGATAGGTGTAAAACTAAAACTGACTTTTCACTTGCTAACAACTTTCCACATTGTATATAGACCTGTAATACTTAATGCCATTTTCTAGAATTGATCCTATGCATAGCTGCTAATTCTGGTTACTATGTGAATCTTACTGCTTGGACTTACTTGTAGTTTTAAAATGATTTCTTAACAGACTCATACCTAGTAGTTTTCATTTCTGTCCTCTCTGAAGCCTGGGGAAAGACCAGGAGGCCGAACAGGAGTTTCTGTTGGATTGCCATGTAGAATCCTTGTACTTTTACTTTTACTTCATTCACTTGTATGGCTTGAATTCTTTTTGAATGAATTACAGTGTAATGTACTACACTTGTAAGAGAACAAAACAGAACCACAACCTGAAACCAGTCGAGGTTCAAGTCTATATATGGAATTTGGGCTGTTTTATCAAATAAACTTGATTTTTATGGAATTTTTGAATAATCTTTAAAAATGCAAATGACTCTCAATTCATACATAGACTATGGCAGGCATAATGTTTAAATAATTAGACATGTTGTATTCAAGTATTAAAGGTTTAATATTCTTGTAAGTACTTCATTCAAATATTTTTAAATACCTATTTTTTTCAACTTTCAAAAGTATTCTAATTTTTTAAGAAGAAGCATTTCATTACAACTTTAACATACTCAACAATTTACAGAGCAAAGATACATCTCTTTCAAAAGTGGCTATAAAATTTTTAGGTTCACAGTTGAATTACAATATTGAATTCAGTATAAACCCTGTAAGACATAAAATTGAGTGAGTTTTTAACCTTTAAAAAAGAGCTACATTTCATTTTAAAATCAACAAATTAAGAAAATGAGTTATACTTGAGGAGGAAGCATAAAAATTAACGTCATGATAAGTAGTAGAGGTGATAAACATTACCATTTAAATCTGCTCGATGACTATATCCATACACAGCTGCCAAGGATCCGAGTGCAATGGACAATGACTAATAATAATCTGATACATACAGATTAGAGATGCATGTGCTAACATCTAAATACCTATTTTTATAGCTATATAACAATTACTATTATTAATTATTTTTAAATATTTTATTATTTTTTAATTTTATGTGTATGAGTGTATTGCCTGCATGTAGGTAGGCACACTGATGTTGTGCAATGTCTGCAAAGGTCAAAAGACTTGGATCCCCTGGAACTGGAATTACAGACAGTTTAGCCACCATGTAGGTGCTGGGAATTGAACCCGGGTCCTCTTCAAGAGCAGCCTGTGCTCTTAACTGCTGAGCCATCTCTCTAGCCTGTACATAACAATTATTTTTAGAGTTGTGAATGATGTATTAGACAAAATTTTAAAAGTTTATTTATATACTATTTATATATTTTAACTTAAAATGTTTCCCTAAAGTTATTACTATAATTGTTATATCATGCCTAAAATTAAAATACATCATGAAATTGTTTCTTGAATGTTACAAATCCTATTATCAAACACTATCAAAATGAATTTATACTTACAGTTTCTTCACTTGTCTTCTATGGTAGTAAACAAAGAATGCTTGCATATGTATTATTGTAAAATGAAGAGATTTCAAGGGTAATGTTTGCAATATTCCTTATGGTATCTATTTAAGCTGTAAATTTCTGTGTGAGAGATATCAGCTGTTGGCTCCTTATTGCGGGTTAGGAGTGGAGGAAGACTTGTCAGGCTAACCCTATGGAGGAAGTAAACCCAGATGACAGTTTTTGTTTTACAATAAAGAGAATGCATATGTCTAAAAACCATGGTATTGGGTTAATGCTGATTTTTTTTTTTTTTTACTGAAACAGTGTCTTAAATATATAAAATAGTTAGAAAAAAGAAAATGAACTGTTCATTTCAGAGTTAACACATTTGAAAATGAAAGCTCCAGTTTCATATTTACTATATTAGACATTTGTTGTTTCTAACGAATGGAATTAAGTATGACAAAAATGTGACCTCAAGCTTCTATATTCTTTCTGGTTTATTAACATTTTGACTTCCTGTACCAAACATGTTTTCAAGCATAGGATTTTATAATGCTTTATGTAATGGTTTTATTTTCAAAATTATCTAATGAAGTTTTAGATTTAGCATGTGTTTTATGCCTTTCATTACTCCTATGTGTATTTTCTTGTTTAAATATTGGAGAAAAATCTGTAAGCAAATACTAAAATGTTCTTTGTTTAATTAAGGCTTATTATATAAATGTAGTATGATACCTTATAATAGATAATACACGATTAAGAATATTGAAACAATTAAAAAATTGAAACATGAAAATAGGTTTCTTTCCTGTACCTCTTCCTGTGTTTTTGTTGTTCAACTTTTTGATTGTTGCAACCTTCAATTATGGATAATTTTTTTCTCTTTTCATTTGAATGAAATTAAAAGGATGTGGGGTTCATTTTAATCTCCCACACACTAAGCTTACTGATTTCTTTTTCATTAGCAATGCTTTATCTAATGACTGTTTCAGGGACCTAATTATCATGTGGCCTGTCATCAATCACTTCAATATTACAGAGGGTTGTGTCACAGGATCATTTCACAAAGTGGCTTTAATGATCGACGACTACTATATGACTTCTTAAACAATTGCTCTTGGCAGCAAGAAACTTATATCACCTAGTTGTGGAGTATCTTTAAGCATATTAAACTTTAATTTAAGCTTTATTAAAGATTTTACTATCAAATAATTAGATTTATGTGTAAGTTTTCTAAACATAGATATTTGGTGAACTCTGAAAATAATGTGAGAGAACTTGGTAGAAGACGACTTTCAGTAAGTGAAACAGTGAAGTAAGCTTCTGATGTGATACAAGGGTGTGTGTTTTCTACATGCCAACGTAAGTTAGAACAATTGTGTACGGCCCTTTTCATTAGTGACACAGGAATCTTCTTTCATTGTATCTTCACCTAATTACAAATAGCATCAATGTGATGTTTTGGCATTTCTGTTAGTCTGAGAATATTTCCTTATTTTTTGGTCTTGGCCCGCTCATTTTTTTATGAAATGGTTCATCTTTATTCTGGATGATTTTTTTAAACATTTTTTTTCATTCCTATCACTTAAGTTTAGAGCACAGCTGGGCTTCTTCCAGAATTTCATAGTGTAAAAATAAGCTGATGAACAAGTTGTTTTTCCAGGGTTGAGGTTTTGAATTAACTGAAAATTTCATTTTATGGGAAATGTTTGATCATTTTTGATCAATGATTTTTTAGCTAGTGTTCCCCCCCTTTTTAAAACAATTTTTAAAGGGGAAATGTAAATAGGATGATTTCCTGTCATTACTTTTTTTTTTCTCAAAAATTAAATGTTTTAATCCAGGTGTGGTGGTGCACACTTTTAATCCCAGTTTAGGGAGGCAGAGGCAGAGTCTATGAAATCAGAGTCAACCTCGTCCAGGCCTACTGGGGCTACAGGGAGACCCTGTCTCAAAAAGATAAAAAAAGAAAAGTGTTTAATAATAAGCACAAAACTCAAAGGAGGAAAAACATAAGAGGATCTTTGAAATGCATTGAATGTGTTATCTCTGGTGGAAGTACTTGAATGGGAGTTCTGTACGGCCTGCATTTTTTATTGTTTGCTTAATCTTATTCATGCATGGAATAGTGCATAGAATAAACTCTGCTACATGGTTCTTTTTCTCCTTAAGCATTTAAAAAAGATGAGTTGAATGAATAAATTCTATCGAATGTTTTTAGATGGAATAGTTTCATTTTAATGACATTTAGAATACTTTTATTTTTCCAGTTTTTATTAGGAGATATTACTTCTTCAAAATAATAGGTTTTATTATGATACTTTCATAAATGTATGCAATGAACTTTGATCATATGCACCTTTTCTTTTCTTTTCTTTTCTTTTCTTTTCTTTTCTTCTTTCCCCCTTCCTCTTCCTAAGGGTTCTGCCCTTCCCCCTAAGAACCCCCTTCTACTTTATTTTGCTTGATCTAAATTTTGCATATGATAGAAATTGTGCAATATTTGTCTTTCTAAGTCTAGTTTATTTCTCTCAATATTTGGTCTCCAGTTCCATTCATTTTCTTTCAAAAGATATAACTTTGCTTTTTATGGCTGAGCAATACTCCATGTATATATTTTTCACATCTCCTCTATTGGTTCATTCATTGATGGGCATGTAGACTGATTGCATCACTTAGCTATTGTGAATGGTGCCATAGCGAACATTTGATGTATAGGTATCTCTATTTTATACTGACAGATGCATTTGTATATATACCCAAACTTTGGAGGGAACTTCCATACTGAAAGTGGCTAAATTAGTTTATATTCACACCAACAGTGTATAAGAGTTCCTTTTAAAAAATAGTATTTTTAATTGTGTCTTTGTATATTTTATACATTTATTGAATGTTCTTGACTTTCTATCCACCTCCCCCCACCCCATCTCCTTCTTTCTCTTCCTGGTATTTTCCAACCTGTCTCCCTCCCATCTTCATGTCTACTTTTTTTTTTTAAACTATTGTTATCCATAACTCCTTGAGTCCATATGTGTGTGGATGTGGGGCCATCACTGGGACGTGGGCAACCTGCCAGTGCCCACATTTCCTTTTTTGCTGTATCCTCATGAGCATTTGTTACTATGTACTTTCTTAAAGAGAACCATTCTGACTATGGTGTGAGCTAGTCTTACTGTAGTTTTGATTTTAGTTACTATTATGAATAAGGCATTGAACATTTCCTCTCATTAGCCAACTTCATTTTTTCTGAGTACTGTCCAGTTCATTTGCACATTAATTAGGGTATTATTTTGAGGTTTGATATTTTTGAGTTCTTTGTATATTCTGGATACAAAGTCATATGAGATGAATTGCTTGCAAAGATTTTCTTCCATTCTGTAGGGTATCTTCTCAGTCTTCTGAACGTTT